TGTTTGTTCTTTTTGTAAAAGTGTGCGTTTTCCCAAAGTATGACTATCATTACCAACATATAGTTTTTCATTACCGTTTATGTGAGAAGATCACAATTTGAATGAATATGGGAAACTAAGGATGTACTCGTAGTTTTATCTAGGTAACTACTAATGTACTAACTACCTTTAACTTGTTAGTTAATTAAGGTAAAATGTGATATGATTGTAACCATACTTGATAGACCAGTATAACACGACGTTCGAGACGTCGAAAAGATATGACATTCATCACCCGTGACCTGCAGGTCCCACTGTAGCTAGCATCAAGGTGTGGGAGGGTCAGTCCCGTATAGATCTATACACAAATTCATGCACTCCCTTCAGGAGACTCTGGGTACAAAACGTGACACAACAGTATATGCCGAGCCATGAAGTAGTATCTTACATTAATGTTATAGTATTCTTGTATTTGTATAGTATGTACTAGTGTAGTGTATGTTCTCTTTGTCTAGTATGTAGTATGTTCTCTAGTGCATAGTGTGTAGTATGTATTGCTTCTCGTTATAGTGTTCTCTCTATCTGTTTCTCTTTATAGTGAGTATTGTCTCTCATAATAGTATTCTCTATCTGTTTCTCTTTATAGTGAGTATTGTCTCTCATAATAGTATTCTGTATCTGTTTCTCTTTATAGTGAGTATTGTCTCTCATAATAGTATTCTGTATCTGTTTCTCTTTATAGTGAGTATTGTCTCTCATAATAGTATGTATTGACTCATGTATGAACTGACTCTTTGTATGTTTCGTTGTTCTAGTAATAGTATTAGTGAATTCCTAAACTATACCTATTATAGTGTACTAGCAATGTCGTTTGTATGAATGAACATGTTTGTATACCTTTGCTACCCAAAGGTATTGAATTGAATGAAGGAACTTTTTATATCTATATACATATACATAATATATAATTAAGATTCAAACGACCTTCGGACAAACAACCGATGCCCTAATTCCACAACCAAACAAGGAACATGAAGTAAGGCGAGCTATCAGTCTTAAGTCCTTTCAATCCTACTTATATAACTATATCTATATAGATAAGCTTTTGACAAAATATAAGTTTAAAAGAGTTTAATAAAGAGTTTTGCAAATATAAAAGAGTTTATAAAACGATTTAAAGTAGTTTGTTTGAAAACACAGTTTGAAGTATAAGAAATCCATTGTTTGATAGTTATTAATCACATGTGATTGATCTAATAACTATAATGTTCTACTTGTATTTCCCACCATAAAAGCATTTAAAATCATTTAAAAGGTAAATTAAAGGGGTATGAACTCACCTGTAGTCAGTGACTCGAATGTAAGATCGATAAAGGATGCTAGGTGTCAAGTGAAGACTTGAACACACACGGATCCTAAATAGCATATAAGGACACATATATGTATAAGATTAGTGTTTATACTACTAATAATGAAAGGTAATACCTTATTTGGGCTAGGAAACACTTGTAATGAAGTTTTAAACCACATAGGGTTGCATATAAGGGGTGTAGGGCCTCACATTGGAGTTTACAGCCCAAATGGTAAGACCCCCATGAGTTCACGGCCCATGGGTTTACGGCCCTATGAGTTTACGGCCGTAAACTCTTGGTATTTGGTACCAAAGTGTGTGTTAAGGTCTAATGGTCTTCCCAGAAGTGTTCTAGTTCACAAGCTTAGCTCCTAGAAGAGTCATGACCACATTTGCACCACTAATTAGGGTTTACGGCCAAGGGAGATGCTCTTGGCCGTAAACACCTTTTGTTCTTGAATTCTTGTTGTTTTCAAGGTGTAAATAAAATGTTCCTAGTATATAACAAGCTAAGGAGAGTGTACTTACGTAATAGAAGCTTGAAAGGGTAGTTTTCGGCCCAAAGAACAAGAGTGTTCTTGAAGAAATGAAGAACGCTTGAAGATCTAATCAAAAGAAGAGATTTCATGGATGAAATCAAAGGGTTGTGCTATTTAAGAAGATGTATCACTAATCAAGGGATGGAAGCACTTTCATTTTTGGAAGAAAATGAAGATCCTTGATGATAGTTGAGAGAAAAATCTGAGTTCTTGAGTTAGAAGTGGTAAAAGTGATGAAAAATGGCCAAGTATCATCTATATAGACTAGAGTTTACGGCCACCAAGAGACCTTGGCCGTAAACTCATGTTCCTGGCCGTAAACTCCTCATGAAAGGGGTTTATGGCTTGCTTGATGGTTTTGAACTTCAACGGACACTTCCTATCACTCATTCTTTGGATGTACTAGGTTTAGAATGCTCGAAAAGACTCAAAATAGTGCTAAAAGTTAGCAGAAACAAGTCTGACTTTGACTGGATTGAATGGTTGTACAAGATAGAAATTTCGGGTTGTCACAATTCACGACCTTGATGAAGGGTTCACGGCCCTATGAGTGGTTCACGACCCAAGATGAAGGGTTCATAGCCTTGATGAAGGGTTCACGGCCCTATGAGTGGTTCACGGCCCAAGAACATGAAGAACACTTGAAGATCTTAAGCTGTGTAAATATTAATGGGAAAAAATTATTTCTCACGTCGTGGTTTCAAGATTTTTATCAAAAACACTATTTTTTCTAAAAAAATCGACCACTCTATAATTTTAACCCCGCACTTGATTTTTTGTCCTATTTTCCAAAAATTAAGATGACTTTGATGGTGATTTATCCTAAAACTTAATAGAAATGCAAAAACTAAAAACGCAAATACAAAAAAAAAACCAAAAGAAAAACGCAAACCGAGCTCGGGTTGCTACCTGATAAGCGCTTCTTTATGTTGGAGTCATGAGCCGGACTCCGTGTCGCCTTACGTTGTATCGGTTGAGATCGGGATCTCCACTTGCACCTTTTGTTCCCTCCACATTTTCTTCTCCTCTTGCACTCTTCTAAAATAATCTTTCTTAGAATTTTCCTTTTTCGTTTTAGAATCGACTTCGTCGTGCTTTCGTTTCACCCCTTTATTTCTTAAAACAAGTTTAATTTCTCCATTTTCGTTTTGTAGCTCCTTAGCTTCAACATCCTCCTTATCCAAAATTGGCTTGCTCAAGGCTTGTAATCTCTTCTTCCTCATCCTCACTTGAGACCAAACTTTCTTCACTTTCTTCACTTATCAGAGACTATGGAGTTTGAAAAGCAAACACCTCAAAGATCTTTGGAGTTGAAGCTCTTGGCTTGGTACGCTTGACTTGTTCTATCACTTTAATTTCTCCTTCCATCAATTTCTCCAACTCCTTAAGCTCGTTTTCTTCATCCATAAAGAATACTTCATTTGAGCACAATCTGTCTTGAATCCGTCTTCCACTCCAAAAGTCATTTCATCATTTCCCACTCGGTAAGGTAAGCTTTGACTCGCGAATATCCACCAAGGCTCGTGCGGTATTGAGTAAAGGGCGTGCAAGGATAATTAGGACATTTTTATCCTCCTTCATATCTAGCACTACAAAATCAATTGGTAAAATATTTTTTCTAATTTTTACCAAAATGTCATCAACTATGCCTCGAGGATGAGTCACTGAACGATTAGCCATATGAATCGTCATTCTAGTAGCCTTCAATTCTTTAAAAGTCTGAACTATATTAGGAGTGAACAAGACTACATAAATTCCTAATCTGGTCCAAACCGCTACCGGACATGTATCGTTACCAAATCGTCATCGTTTATGTTAATATGTGACAGTGCTCAGTACTCTAAAATCATGACATTCATTGGATATATATATATATATATATATATATATATATATATATATATATATATATATATATAGAGAGAGAGAGAGAGAGAGAGAGAGACGTGAGTTTATTTTTTAAATTCAGATAACCAAAACAAATAAATAATGGAAAAAAGTAAAGGATAAAATTGTATTTTCAAATTCGAATGGATCAAATCCACAGTAAACCATCAATAATTTTATAAGTGTGGACTATACGAGCGGTGAACAAGACTATTGAATTCTTGATCCGAACCGACATTGTTTATGTTAATATGAGACGATACCCGGTTATCTAAAATCATGACATTCGAGATTCGAACCGATGCTAGTACTGAAAATCGGTATCATATTTGGTATCGATACCATAATGAATATTAGGTCAGTTTGCGTACTACGCAGTATCATTTTTAACCCATTTTAACACTCGGTATGTATTCTTAGATCGGTTACCGGTAGGGATGAGCAAAGGAACTGACCCGGCTGGAACCGGCTCGAACCGGAGCCGGCCCGGGAACCAAAGTCGGCCGAAATTAAGAACCGTACCGGACTGTCGGTTTCGGTTCTACCGGTTCTTGTCGTGTCTTCAATGTTGGAACCGGTCATCGAGAAATAACAACATACGGTTGCGGTTTTTGCCGGTTTTACCGGTTCCCGGTTCCAAAAATCCACAAGAATATTGTCCCGGTCCTGGCTCCACTCGACCGGTTCCATCGGGTTTCGGTTTCGGTTCCGGTACCGGTTCCGACCGGTTCCCCGGTCCAAATGCTCATCCCTGGTTACCAGTTCAATACCACTGAAATTAGCATGAGACCAAATTTAAATGGACTTTTTTGTAAAATGACTTTTTGTAAAAGGACTTTTTACAAAAGATGTTTTTAAAAATGTGTTTGGATTAACTTTTGAGAAGCAAAAGTCAAAAGTTGTTTTTAAAAAGTGTTTGGTTTAACTTTTACATGTAAAATGACTAAAAATGATAATTGGGATTAGGGTAGTTGGGGGTATAAAAGTAATTTCAGTTTTAAGGGCTTCAAAAGTTACAAAAAGTCACGTTCCCGTGACTTTTTCAAAATGTTCATTTTCCTTCTTTTTGAAAAGTTGCTTTTAAAAGATCTTTTCCCTTAGCGAAACACCTTTTAGTTTTTTTTTGACTTTTAGAAAAAGATAAAGGCTAAAAGTTGTTTTAAATGATAAAATAAACACTCCAAAAAGGAAAAAGTACTGTTGAAAATGGGGCCGTTGACCAGAATGACGATAAGTTTGAATGCAGCAAGTTTACGTTTGACTCCATTATCCGGTGTTCTAACAGGAAACAAACGTCTCTCCAGTTACAGACATGGAATGTATGAAGAAGATGGGTGAAATAACTCACCATAGAATCAAGACCAATGGAATCTGGATGCACGTTGCAGAAAAAGGCGAAGGACCAGTAGTCCTCCTCCTCCATGGCTTCCCGGAGTTCTGGTTTTCATGGCGCCATCAGATCACTTATTTAACTAACCACGGTTACCGCGTGCTCGTACCTGACCTCCGCGGCTATGGCGATTCCGACGCTCCGCCCTCTCCCTCTTCCTACACCGTCTTCCAGATCGTCGCTGACCTCATCGGCGTACTAGACCACTTCAATCAACAACAGGTATGTGTGCTTTAATGGCGATGAAGCTTTATTTAGCGTTTTAGGGCTGATTTAGTGTAAGTATGAATATCAGGTGTTTGTGGTGGGACACGATTGGGGCGCACACGCCGCCTGGCATCTTGGCCTTTTCCGGCCAGATCGGGTGAAAGGAATCGTTGCTCTCAGTGTTGTGTTCTCTGCTAGATCTCCAGACATCAGTCCGATTCAATCGTTGACCAAATCATTCGGAGATAGTTTCTATATGACCCAATTCCAGGTTAACTTCTTCCCCTCACTCTGTGTTAAACATATGGAGATGAATTTTAATTTTATAAAGTTTGAGAAATTAATACAGGAATCAGGAAGAGCAGAGAGGGCTTTTGCGAAATACGATTGCTTGACTCTAATGAAGAAGTTTTTGCTGATCAACCATGGTGATGTACTGGTAGCGCCTCCTGGAATGGAGATTATCGATCACATGGAAACTCCTTCATTGCCTCCATGGATTACAGAAGATGAGCTTCAAGTGTATGCAGATAAGTTTCAGGAGACTGGATTCACAGGAGGTTTAAATTACTATCGTGCTATAGATCTGTAAGACATAAAACACAGATATTTGATTTGATTTGATTAAATTCCCTTCCTTTTTTTGTTCTTTGTAATGGTATGAATTGATTTGCAGGAATTGGGAGCTGCAAGCGCCATGGCAAGGGGCTAAGATAAGAGTTCCATCGAAGCTGATTGTTGGGGACAAAGATATTGGATATGAAAGTTGGAAAAAAGCATACGTCCATGGAAATGTTATGAAAGAATTGATTCCTGGTGTTGAAGTTGTGATTATGGAAGGCCACCATTTTATTCAACTAGAGAAACATCAAGAGGTTTCTGATCACATCTTATCTTTCCTTCACAAACTTGCATAAGTTAGGGTTCTAGTGTCTCATTCTCATACACCCAATGAAAATATTTGTTGGACTTTTCTTTCTCCAATTTTTTGTTTTTATTTCACGAACACATTGTAAATTTTGAAGTAATCAAAAAAGTTCAACAGACGTGAAGTAGGAACTCACACATTTGAAGATACACATGTTTCATAATTACCAAAATAAATTTTAATAAATTGATCGATAAATTTATTTATTCGAGTTTTTTATAAATAAAAATGTCAAAACTGGGTAATAATTTAGGGGTGAGCATGGGCCGGGTTGGATCAGTTTTAGGGTAAAACCGAACCCAAAACTGAAATGTCGGTTTTCAAAAAACTAGAACCCAACCTAAACCAAAACCGATGGGTTCGGTTTCTCGGTTCCTGGTTTGATTTCGGGTTCGGTTTCGGGTTCAAGGAGTTTGGATATCTTTGAGCCAAGTCAAGCATGAAACAATATTTTGATTTATTTTGAGAAGAAAAAACTTTCAATGTGTTCAACCCTAAAGAAATTAAGGTGATGGTGGGCCGATATGAAGAAAGTTAAGTGGAATTGGGTTGAGGCTCAAGGTGGAGAGTTAAATTAAAAATCATAGTTGAACTCTGACACCCGTTATGATTGATTCGTCTATTGCATCTTTTGAAAACAGTCAAGTCAAGGAGTAAGCCCATCGATGTTCGATCATACCCTTGTGTGTGGGTTTTGATCTCTTTGTGATATATACGTTGAAACTCACCCTATAAAAGATAAACAAGTAGACTTGATGTTTGTTGGTGAAGAGTCTTCGACTTATCTAGAGGCAACAAGGATCGAGAGTGGCTGGAAGTGATGAAAAGTGAACTGGATTAAATCAAAAAAAAAAAAAATACATACATTGGCCCATTGGGTTGAAATGGATATTTAAACTAAAAAAGGATGTAGACAATAAGGTAACAAAACACAAATCATGGTTCATCGCGAAGGGATATGTGCAACAAAAGGGGATTGATTTCGATAAAGTTTTGGTGCCTATGACACGATTGGAGACGATTCGAGTGCTTCTACCTCTTGCAATAATGGGAAGAGGGAAAGTTCACCATCTCGACATGAAATTAGGGTTTTTAAACAATGATTTAGAAGAGCATGTATATGTTTCACGACCTGAAGAGTTTATTGTTGTAGGGAAGGAACATCTAGTTCACCATTTAAATAAAGCGCTCTAAGGGCTACGTCAAACCCCAAGCGCATGGAATGTCAAGCTCGACAAAACACTCGAGGAGTTAGGTTTCAGAGGTGCCCTCAAGAACAAGACGTGTACCGAATTCAAAACCAAAAAAGCGATACTAATGTTTGGTGTGTATGTAGATGACTTAATCGTAACTGAGTTTAGAAAATAAATGTAGAAAATATGTGATACGAGTGATTTGGGGATATTGACATGCTATCTTGGAATAAAGGTGAAAGAGAGTAAAGACGGCTTTGTATTCAGTCAAGCAGGATAAGCAATTAATTACTGACAACAACAAGAATAGTAGACTACAACGATGCAAATTATCCAATGGAACCAAAATTGAATTTAACGAAGAGTGAAGCTGAAGTGACAATGAATGCTCCTAAATTCCAAAGTCCCATTGGACCTTATGATACTTGATGCACACAAGGTAGACCTTGGTTACTTGGTTAAAGTCGTCAGTCGAATATAACTCTTTCATATGAATTTCGTTTAAGTTGAATTTTTTTTTATATTGTGTTCTTTGTAACAAGAGCTTTATGTGGACATATCACACTCCAAATTTAGATGTCGGGAAGTATACTTTTTTAGCTCTAAAATAGACTACTTGGTGAAAAATATATAAAAAAATAAATTTCGCATATGAAATTTATTTGAGCTTATTTTTTTTGGTAAGAAAGGCTTGCTATGGACATATTACACACTCAATTTGGATGTCAAAAAGTCATACTTTTAACTCTATATCAGGTTATTTAGTGAAAATTATGAAAAAAAACTTCATAACGACCTAGATAACAATCATCATTCTCCCAAAGGGGCTTACAAAAATCTCAAAAATAAATAAATAAATAAACAAATAAACATTTTCGAATGCCACCTAGATTTTTGTAATGGTGGCTTGTGAAAATTGTGGTCATTTTTCATTTTTGTGGAAAAACCTTGCAAATAAAATATAGTATTTTCTCTTATTAATAACTACCACTAAATATTTAATTATAATTAGAAATTTAAAAAAAAATATATCAAATCAAAGTAAAAAATTTCACAGATCACATCATTAACAAATAATGTAGTTTCAATGGTCGTGTAAAAAAAATTAAGACAATACAAAGAAAAATAGATCCCACACATACCCTACACCCAGACCCACCCACCACATCTTGGCCCCTTGGTGCATATGTGGTCCTTCTTAGGTCAAGTACTTAAGACAATACAAAGATCCTTATTAACATTGACTTCTAAACTCATAATCGAGTGTTGTTAATTAGTTGAGTCAAATGGAAATAATTTAGATGCTATTTGTTTTTTTAAATCAAAATGTCTGCGGTCTGCGGACCACATCTGCAAGCCTCTGCGGCAGAAAAGGTGGACCAAATGTCTGCAGTCTGCAATAAGAAGACTGTTTGTTTTTAACGTCTGTAGCTGTTGAAATAAATTGATTTTTCAAACTTAATTTCATATCATAAACATTAAAAATATATTTTCAGCAAAAAAAAAGAAAAAAAAATGCACGGTGGCCCATGTTTTTTTTTGTTTAGGTTAAAATGGGGTCTGAAGACTTTTGAAGACAGTGGTCCATGTCTGCGCCAGGAAGACCTCGTGCAGACGTTTTTTGATCTGCACACTTCCAAAAAATAAACACTCTGCGAGGGCATATGTCTGCGCGGCGCAGACAAAAGTGGTTGCGCAGATCTTCACCAAAAAAACAAACATCCCCTTCCAGGAGTATGCCTATATAAAGGGAATGATTTAAAGGTGATCTAATCATATCCATCCGTTTTTTTTCCTAGAGAGAGAAAGTGAAAGATTCGCAACAATGGTGGTGGACTTTGTCGAGCATGCATGCATGCAAGTTCTTGAGTAAAAAGTACGTGGAAAACTATGTGTTTGCCCATTTCTTATATTTTAAGTAAATAAAAAATAAATACATGAAAAAATGAAAAAGAAGAAAAGGGTAAAACTAAAACATCTTCACGTTCGAATGGACCAAATCCATAATAAGAGTAGAACAAAAGGACCATATCTGCATTTTTAAAAATCTACTGCATTATACGAACTATATTAGCAAAGGACCAAATTTTCAATCTTCTCTAATACTATAAAGGAAGTAAAATCACATACGTGTTTGAAAATGGGGGCGTTGACAAGAATCACAATAAGTTTGAATACAGCAAGTTTTACGTTAGACTTTCATAATCCAGTGTTCTAACATCTCTCACAGACATGGAAATGGAATGGATGAAGAAGATGGGTGAAATAACTCACCATACAATCAAAACCAACGGAATATCGATGCATGTTGCAGAAAAAGGCGACGGACCTGTAGTGCTCCTCCTCCATGGCTTCCCGGAGCTCTGGTTTTCATGGCGTCATCAGATCACTCACTTAAGTAACCATGGTTACCGTGTCCTCGCACCTGACCTCCGCGGCTATGGCGATTCCGACTCCCCATCCTCTCCCTCTTCCTACACCTTCTTCCACATAGTCGGTGATCTCATCGGCCTTCTAGATCACTTCAATCAACAACAGGTATGTCGTATGTGGCTTTAATGGCGATGAAGCTTTAATCAACGTTAGGGTTGATTTTGTGTAAGTATGAATATCAGGTGTTTGTGGTGGGACACGATTGGGGCGCAACCGCCGCCTGGCATCTGAGTCTTTTCCGGCCAGATAGAGTCAAAGGAATCGTTTCTCTCGGTATTCCATTTTTTCCAAGATACCCGATCAATCCAACTCACTTATTCACCAAATCGTTTGGAGACGATTTCTACATCTCTCAATTCCAGGTTCTTCTTCTTCTTCTTCTTTTTTTTTTTTTTTTCTGTGGAAATTTTTTATAAAGTTCAGGAAATTGATACAGGAATTAGGAAGAGCCGAGAGGGCTTTTGCGACATACGATTGTTTGACTGTAATTAAGAAGTTTTTGCTTATCAACGTTGGCGATGTACTGGTAGCACCTCCTGGAATGGAGATTATCGATCACCTGCAAATTCCTTCTTCGTTACCTCCATGGATTACTGAAGATGAGCTTCAAGTGTACGCAGATAAGTTTCAGGAGACTGGATTCACTGGAGCTTTAAATCACTATCGTGCCATGGATCTGTAAGACAGAAAACGTAGATATTCGATTTGATTTCTACTTTTTTGTAACAGTAATCGTATGAATTGATTTGAAGGACGTGGGAACTGGAAGCGCCATGGCAAGGGGCAAAGATCAAAGTTCCATCGAAGCTGATTATTGGAGACGAAGATATTGGATTTCAAAGCTGGACGAAGGAATATGTTGAGGGAGATGTTATGAAAGAATTGATTCCTGGTGTTGAAGTTGTGATGATGGAAGGCCACCATTTTATTCAACAAGAGAAACATCAAGAGGTTTCTGATCACATCTTATCGTTCCTACACAAACTTGCATGAGTTTGGGTTCTAGGATCTTTATAGTATACAGAGAGTATTACTCCCTACCACTAAAAAAGAGTATCAAAGCATAATATAATAAATATATAATAAATAATAAATAAGCTCATGGACTCCACTTATTATTTATGTATTAATTAAGAAATTGAAATTTTCGTTAATTCTTATTATTATCCGGGCCTAATGTCATATCGCGCAATTAACTATTGGTTTATGTTTTAAAACGTTCTTAAAATTTTCTTGTTATTTTCATTTTATTTGCATTCTAACTTCTAAGGGAATGAAGTCCGGTTTAATGTTTTAAAAAGTCATTTTGGTAAAATTCAAGGTTTCATCAGATGAAACCCAGCCTCTTCCTAGTCATCAATGATATATGCCACCATAATGGAGTTTGCTATGTCATACTTCCATGTGCCACTAAGGATTTACATAATTAAACCTTATTTAAAAAGCTTCGGATGAATAAATATCAATTCTCGTCTTTCTCCTTACTACAAAACCATTTTGCTCTACCTTCGTCTAGTTTTGTCTATAATGTTGTGTATATGATGGTTGATGTTAACTTTCAAGGTATTTTTTCAAGATATCTATGTTTAATGTACACTAATGACATACATCATTTGTTTGAATATATCGATTCTACGGGGATGGACAAGAAAGAATTATATGCTTTTTTGGAAAGATATACTGTTAGGAGATGTCTGAAGGTGTATTATTGTTCACTCGAAGATAATTTTTCAAAAGGTTAGAACTTTGAAGTAATAGATTTTGACTACGCTGAGTTCATTGATGTTGGTTACAATTGTGGGTGTGTACTAGATATGTGCATAGGTCATCTTGGGGCTAATGTGAATGAGTGGCTACATGAAGATATTCGTTAGGGAGGAGGGAGTCATTCCCTCCTAACCCACTGAACCCACTGTCACATCAATTTTTGTCTTTTTTCTTTTCATCTTTTCCAACCCACAACACACGGAAATTCTATCTTTCTCAACCCACTCAACCCACTCAATTAAAAAAATACAAAACAACTAAGGTACAAGTTTTAAAACACATGGTACAAGAGAAAATGAGAGAGATGATGAAGTGGGTTATTGAAACCAATTAAACAACCCGCTGAAGAAGGAGTGGTATCAGCGGTAACTCTATTGCTAATTAAGATTTTACCTTGATTGTTTTGTATTTTTTTAATTGAATGGGTTGAGTGAGTTGAAAAAGATAGGGTTTTCGTGTGTTGTGAATTGTGAAAGATGAAGAAAAATGAAAGAGAAAAACTGATGTGACAGTGGGTTCAATAGGTTGGGAGGGAACGACCCCCTCCTCCCTTAGGACCATCACTTAAATGTTAGAGATGTGCAAGAAGATTTAGGTCAAAATTCGGATTTTCCAGAAGATGATGTTGAAAATTTGGATTGTGAGGTTTCCTTAATGATGTGATTCATATGAACAAGACTAGGAATGATCCTTTCCTCAGTAAACTTTATGTAAACTTTACAATAAGGAGAATCCAATCCTAAAAAAGTACTTAAGGATGAGTGAAAAACATTCATTGCAAATTAAATCTCTTACTAGTGATCATAATTCTGTTATAAATTTTAAGTTAGGATCAATTGTTAATTATGATTGGATTGGTAGCCATAAGCCATTAGACACTTGAATTCATACACAAACAGAAAATGAGTATTAGGCAAAGGAAGAAGTGAAAAAGAAATTTGTAATAAAGGTTAGTATGGCATAGTGTAGGAGGGACACAACAATTTATCTAAAATACATCATGTATCATGTCAATTAACCTTATATTTTTTTATTTTAAGCATATATATAATTATTACTAAAATATTTTATTATAATTATATTTTTTTTTAAGTAACATATCAAATCAAAATAATAATTTTCATAGACCACATCAATTAACAAATAATATAGTTTCAACTACAACCATAAATAAGTTAGTTTTTTCTATGGTTAATGACTTAAACAAGTAAAATACTTTATTTTGATGTTCATATTTAGCTAACAATATTTTTTTTATACATATTTTACCATTGAAGTTGTTTCAAATGTATCAAAAAAGATAATATTATATGATGTTATAAATAATATTATATTTTCTTAAATATGCCAAAACAATTTCAATGATCAAATATATATAAAAGAATGATCTCCCACATCCACAACCATCCCTACCCATCACTACCTTGCCCCATGTTGCATATCGAAATACCCTCATCTCTTCTTATGCCAAGTACTTAATACAATACAAAGATATTTATTAATGTTGACTTTTAAACTCAAAATCGTTTCTACCGAGTGTAGTTGATTGAGCCAAATAGAAATAATTTATAGGAGTATGCCTATATAAAGGGATTGACTCGAAGGTTGTCTCATATTATCGTTAAAGGAAACATGACGACAAGCATTCTTGGATGGTGGTTCGTACCAATGATCATGGGTGTGGTCATGGTGTTGCTGGAGGGTCGACGATGAAGCTTTATAAGAAATTGTGTCATTTGGTTTCGATTGAAAGTACACTGATAGAAGTGAAAGATTCATAGCAATGGTGGTGGGCTTTCTCGAGCTACATGCGAGTTCTTGAATAGAAATTACATGAAAAACCGTGTGTTTGACTGTTTCTTATTTCTAAAATAACCAAATAAATAAATAAATAAATGGAAAAAAAGAAATGAGTAAAACGGATAGAATAGACCAAATCTATAATAAAAGTAAACCAAAAGGACCATATCGATAATTTTTAAAACCGTTTGGACAGAACCAAATATATTAGCAAAATATATTAGCAAACTAGGACCAAATTTACAATCTTCTCTGATATAAAAGAAGTAAAATCACATACGTGTTTGAAAGAGGGGCCGTTGACCAGAATCACAATAAGTTTGAATGCAGCAAGTTTTAATTTTGACTTTCAAAATCCAGTGTTCTAACAGGAAACAAACGTCTCTCCAGTTACAGACATGGAAATGGAATGGATGAAGAAGATGGGTGAAATAACTCACCATACAATCAAAACCAACGGAATATCGATACATGTTGCAGAAAAAGGCCAAGGACCAGTAGTCCTCCTCCTCCATGGCTTCCCGGAGCTCTGGTTTTCATGGCACCATCAGATCACTCACTTAACTAACCAAGGTTACCGTGTCCTAGCACTTGACCTCCGCGGCTATGGCGATTCCGACTCCCCACCCTCTCCCTCTTCCTACACCTTCTTCCACATAGTCGGTGATCTCATCGGCGTTCTAGATCACTTCAATCAACAACAGGTATGTCATATGTGTGCTTTAATGGCGATGAAGCTTTAATTAGCATTAGGGTTGATTTTGTGTACGCACGAATATCAGGTGTTTGTGGTGGGACACGATTGGGGCGCACACGCCGCCTGGCATCTGAGTCTTTTCCGGCCAGATCGAGTCAAAGGAATCGTTGCTCTCGGTATTCCGTTGTTTCCTAGATCCCCAATCAGTCCAACTCAGTTATTCACCAAATCGTTTGGAGATAATTTATACATCTCTCAATTCCAGGTTCTTCTTCTCTTTCTTCTTCTTCTTTCTCTCACTCTGTTTACATGGAGATGAGTTTCATAAAGTTTAGGAAATTAATACAGGAATCAGGAAGAGCAGAGAGGGCTTTTGCGAAATACGATTGCTTGACGGTAATCAAGAAGTTTTTGCTGATCAACCATGGCGATGTACCGGTAGCACCTCCTGGAATTGAGATTATCGATCACATGGAAACTCCTTCATTGCCTCCATGGATTACTGAAGACGAGCTTCAAGCGTATGCAGATAAGTTTCAGGAGACTGGATTCACAGGAGGTTTGAATTACTATCGTGCTATGGATCTGTAAGACTGAAAACGCAGATATTCGATTTGATTTTTATGATTTGATTTCTGCTTTTTTGTAATTGTATGGATTTTGATTTGAAGGACGTGGGAGCTAGAAGCGCCATGGCAAGGGGCAAAGATAAAAGTTCCATCGAAGCTGATTATTGGAGACGAAGATATTGGATTTGAAAGCTGGACGAAGGAATTTGTGGAGAGTGATGTTATGAAAGAATTGATTCCTGATATTGAAGTTGTGATGATCAAAGGCCACCATTTTATTCATCAAGAGAAACCTCAACAAGTTTCTGATCACATCTTATCTTTTCTTCACAAACTTGCATAAGACTATATATGATCTACCCTTATTTATTTATAAGAAGACAAAATTGCAAGTTGGTCCCTGTGGTATGTCAAAAATTGGATGTTTGGTCCAAAAAGTTTTGGGGTTGCACCAGTAGGTTTGATTTGTTGTGGAATTGGTCCAAAGGCTTAACAGCCGTTTGTGCCCTCCGTTTGTGTGAGGGTATTTCTGTCAATTCACACCCCTTCTTTTGATCCCTCACCACTGTACCTTCCAGTCGAGACAGAAGAGGCGCCCTTAAGCCGCCATTGCTGCTTTCGTCTTCTCCTCTGTGAAATAGTGAAGTACCGGAGATGCTTCTCCCAGCCAACGACCGATCGCCTCCACCTCCCCTCCCCTCCCCGTGGCTGCCTGACCACCAAACACAGCCTCCACTGGCGCCAGTCACTACTATCGTGCCCTTCGTTTTCCCCATCGCACCTCACGACTGGAGTAGAAGAAGAATGAGTCGTCGACTACCACCTCCTAACACCCCTCGTTGCCTCCTCCTTTCCCTTCCTCTTCTTCGGCCTAAGTCGAATCCCGGAGGCCATCACCGATTGCGAATCAATCGACAAAAAATCAGAAGCCATCAGACCCCCTTCCTTTAGCCAGAAGAACGATCGAACCTTCGCTGACTTCGTGTGCTTTCTTCTTGACTGCCTTCGGTTCATTCCCGTTCCAATCTCCTCTTCCTCCTAATCGATTCAACTGCATCAAAGAGGGCTTTTACTTGAATCGGATCTGATATGTCGGCTTTAAAAGAAACAGCTTGTGGGGATTCAGATTGAGATTTGGAATTAATTTCTGAAACGACTAGATCCGCTTTAGAGGAATTAGAAGTGTAATTGACGACGAGTTTTGCTCCAAGGGATGCTAGGTGGAGGGAGATGGCTTTGCTGATACCGCGAGAGCCGCCGGTGACGATTGCAACCCGGTCCTGCAGTTGGAGGGGCTGAGATTGGGTGGTTTTCGGTGGTGAGACTGTGGTGATTTTACTAGCCATAGGTGTTGTTGAGTCTTGAAGTTTGAGTGGAGAATTGGAAGTTGGACAGAAATACTCTCACACAAACGGAGGACACAAACGGCTGTTAAGCCTTTGGACCAATTCCACAACAAATTAAACCTTTTGGACCACCGGTGCAAACCCAAAACTTTTTGGACCAAACATCCAATTTTTGACATACCACATGGACCAAACTTACAATTTTGTCTTATAAGAATGATTTTGCCTCCTTCTCTTATTTATTCGATTGTTTTTTTTTCATAATTTTGAGATATATTTATTTTCTACTTTAACATTTACTTCATTTTTCATTTCCAATATATGTTTAATTTAGTTTCCATAAATTAAACCTAAACTATTAATTTTAAATTTTAAATTTCAATTTCAATTCAAATAAATTTATAATTTAAACCTTTGTATTTAACATTTTGTTATAATTAACCCGTTTAGTATATGGATTTGACAACTAAACACATGATTTTAATTTATTTATTTTTTACATGTTTTTTTCTCATAATTTTCACTTATTTTAGATTTCCTATTCAAATAAATTTCTCATTTAATCATTCCTATTTAAAAGTTTGATTTAATCAATCCGTATAATATACGGGTCTCACAACTAGTTTGTTAAGAAACACAAATTTTCGTTATTTATTACTATCCACCATAAAATGTCTAATTCATAATAAGGAAACGAATTAACTTATTCAAAATTGTCGATCATAAAACAAACAAATAGTTGGATTAAAGAAAAATCTATATGATGAATTATTCAAATTGTATGTAATTCATTATTGGAGCATCAAACAATCAAAATGGATTAATCTTTCAAATTGTTGGAAGACAATTAAAGTACAAAACAAGTTAACTATGAAGTCTTTTGCTTTTTTTTTTTGAAGTACATTTATTAATTAGTTATCAATAAACAACAATAAATACTTGCTTCCTACTAAATATTTTCGTGTACAACAAATGTTATTATACATGTTAAAATGGTTAGGTCTTAGGTGGTCTTGGTAATGTGAGCATATTGAGAATATTTTCGTATACAACAAATGTTAGTGAAGCAGAAGGAAGATTTTTGAGAAGATTTGCTGTGATGCCTTTGTAGAAACCACGTACACCCTCTACCCTACAACCCAACAGAAATTCTGTTATTTTCAAACGTAATTAGAGACACTATAATATAATATATAACATAACATAACATAACATAACATAACATAACACGTGTATTACACTCACTTAGCAGTTTTCTTCATGACATGCCAGCTGTCCACATATCTTGGAATTCCATCTATACCTGGTCTTTGCTAAAATTTTAAACGATTTAAAAAAAAAAAAAGTTCAGATATATATAAAATTCGAGAAATGATGTAGTTAAAATCTCGTTTACCTGCAAGCGAGAACGAATGACCTGAAAAACGTGACACCATTTAAAAAGATGAGAATTAATTAATTAAAAAAAAAAGTTACAAGTTTTAATTAGTTTGTATAATTGGATATTTAGAAAACCTGAAATGGATACGTGACAAGGATCGCAGCCAGTTTTGAAGAAGCTCCTAAAGTTGCATAATCAATTGTTGTCTAGAAAAAAAATATCCACTTAGATTATATTTTAATAAAAACAAATTTTCATTTTAAATCTTCGATGTTGTATATATATATATATATATTCGTGTTAATATTTAGTATGAATAATCAAACTTACCAATAAATCAGCACTATTGGAAATCAACACGCTTTGGTCAAACCTAAAGTTGACTAGAACTTTACGAAGCTCCTCATATGCAGTAAACTGAATAGCCCCATGAGTCACTTGCTGTATATATTCATTAATCAATATCAGGTATCAATTTGTGTTTGAATATTCATGAAATGTGATGATGTTCTTAAATGGAACTTCAAATATAAATAATAAATTGAAATTAATACCAAATCTAACCAGAATAAGACCAGGTGCAAGCCCTTTGTATAACGCCTTCCACCCTTCATCTTTCACTACGGTTTTTAAAGCATCTGAAATCATACAGAAGATTAGTTAATCAAATAAATGTAAATTTTAAGTTTTTAATTTAAGATTCAGAACACACCATGGAAACCAGAATATGGTCGATTAAGATGTTGAGGAGTCTGAAGTTGTAATCTTGTTTTCACAAGCCAAATGGGATTGGTTAAAAAACATACCTGAAACAATATGATAATTTTTATCATAATCAAGGTAATATATATATATATATATATATATATATATATATATATATATATATATATATATATATATATAAAAATGAGATAAAACAATGGAAGAACAAACATACTCACCAAACCTCCGGCTTCTGCAGCTGAAGCAAGATGAAGACCTGGGGTTAGTTCATCTCTATTCTTCAGATACCTTTGTTTAGCTTTGCTATAGCTATAAAAAAAGGATAAGATTGTTTCAATTTCATATAAGCAACCCCATTAAAGTTGAGAAAATTGTCATAAGGAATCACTTACAAGTAGAAGTATAAACCCCAAGAGATAGTTGAGCCAAGAACAGCAGGATAAAAGCCACCATAGAGTCCTCTGAGACCCTGAAAAGGATCATATCAAGTAGTTCAATCCAAAAATTTATGTTCTAAAAGGTAATTAAACTTCTCTATTCAATCCTAGAATACGAACATCGTGATTTCAATTGGATTCAGTAGCTTTAGGCACATACATTTGGTGTACTTGAGCTATAAAAGCGTCACTTACTCTACGCGAAAATCCAGAGAAATTGCAATTAAGCATCAATTAAGTTTAGGAAGTAACCTCTGATCGAGCAATGGTGAAGAGAGCCTGACGAGTGTTCTTGTAGCTCGGGAGATGAGGGTTTTGACCATCATTAACTGTTAAAAATCGAGTAGAAGGTAGAAAGAAGAGCAGTATTAGGTTTTCTTATTTATGACAAATTTAGTAGATTGATACTAACGCACCTTGGAATCTGGTACGAACGACGTCCAGGGGATGCGAAAACGTGACGGTAGTGAATCCGGCGACGGATCCGGCGGCGGCGTTCTCCCACTGCCAGTGTGCCGCCTGAGCGGCGGCCATCTTTACCTTTTCCGATGACGGTTGCTTCAGTAGTGTTCCTTGTGAGAAGAAAAAAAAAAAAAAAAGGCAGTTTGGTTGGCAATCTCGGTCTCCAGAAACATGTACTTGTAAGTTGCAAGTTGCAATTTCAAAACATATTTAAACCAATGTTTTAAAATTTGGTTGTTTTATTAGCTGAACCCGTATGCCGATTGGTTTTCGGTTTAATCGGTTCGGTTGCTGATTTATGTTTATGAATTCTAGATAACTTTATCAATCAAGTTATTCAAGTTTTTCTAAAAATTGATTGTTTTTGTTAATAGACGAAATGAAATCTAACGATTTAAGTTTAATAAATTGATTCAAACTTTTTTTTTTTACTATTTCTATCATACTGGTTCAACCCGGTTTTTGAAGAAACCGTCCGATTCAATACGATCTAGAACTTAGCATAAATCGGTCATTGTTGAACCGCTATACTCCCCAGTCTGATCGGTTTTCAAAACACTAATTTAAACTAGGTTTATACACGTGCGTTGTATATGATTAATAAAAAAAAATAGAAAAACGGTCTAAAAGGGTAATATAGTTCTCATTTTATACACACTTGGTCCTTTTTTTTTTTTGAAATCGCTTACTATAGACAAAAATAGAAAAACGGTCTAGAAGGGTAATATAGGTTAAGGTTCCAGTTTGTACACATTTAGTCATTAATATTTTTTTTTGTTGCAAAATAAGTCAGTATTGTTTTTGTACACATTCAGTCCTTATGATCGTTTTTTTTTAGATTTTGCTCATGTGACATCCTACGTGGGACAATCATTAATGATGTGTTTTCATATGTGCTCATCCTTCATTTATATCAGTAACCTACCTAATTCATGAATCAGTCAAATAATGTTGGTGTCATACTCTTCTCAAAAAAGAAGATGTCTTCGACTTCAGCTTCATCTATGTGCACAGCAGGCAACAATATTCTTTGTGATTGCTTTCTCCAAATTCGAATTTGCACTTCCAAGATAATATAACACACTGAAAAAAAAAAGTTTAGAGTCTTTCCTAATTTCTTGGTATGCCGATTTTAACCATTTTTCAACAAATGAGTTTTTTTGTTCTTTTCAAATTGACCTTCTTTCTTACCTGCTTAAAATTTGTTTTTTGATACCGAAGAAACCAAGTAAAAAGTCCACAGTTTGGCAATAGGTTGATGTAAATGTCAAATTGACCCTGAATTTTAAAGATGTTTGTAACTATTAAAGAGGAGGCTTCCTGTCTTAACCACCTTGAATCACATAATACTAAAACCGTAGAACGATTAGGGTTTTCTCACGAGAACTAAGGACACGTGTCACGAACTTGTATTAATTTATTAATCACTAATATATTAACAAACTGCATCCCCTATAAACTCTCATGTAAATAATTGCTTAAGTATGTCCTTGCATGTAACCCAAAAGGACTATGCTATTAATAGTAATATTACCAAATATTATGATTGTTGACGCTATTTCCAACAATTGAAATCATTATGACTAATGTATTTTTTCACCTGATGTAATGTAGTTAGCATTGCTATTGAATGAAGCTTGTATTAGTGTTAAATATAGTTGGTATTGTACTATAATAGTTGAGATTTCTTAGGAGGATTAGATTTCTTCATTCCTGCTTCAGTTTTTTGCAACAAGTTGTGGAGTTGCATCAATGTCGTTTCTGTGTTGTTCAAATGATAAGTCAGAATTAACTGATCAGAACAACTAGCAAAGAGTGGAGAACCATAACAATGGGTAGCTCTTTATCAAAATTCACATTTAGCTTCTTAAATATTTCCACATATCTCTGCATTTTCTGCACATAAGCACACATGGATTCTCCTTCCTTTATCTTACACGCCATTAGAGCTTTGACGACCTCCTAGCGTTCTCGCTTAGCTTTATTGTGAAACA